TATATATATATATATATATATATATATATATATATATAGAGAGAGAGAGAGAGAGAGAGAGAGAGAGAGAGTAAGTAGGAAAGTTTGACTGCTCAGCAAACTGAATTATAGACATAAACACCAACATCCTGTTTAATTCCAAAAAAGCAAATCACCTCGAGATTTTTAAGAGCTGATAATTAAGACACCTCATATATATTAATAGAATGAAGAAGGATCGTTTTTCAATCCTCTCTCCAAATTCTTTCAGCAGCCTGTGGAGATCTGTTTTTGGAAACTGCATTAGAGATGGGGAGGGAAAGGCTTCGTGGCAAGGAGTAGGATCAGCTTTCTGCCCCGTGCCTGGCAGAGGCTGTGACTGCCCTCCATGTGATACTGTAAATCAAATGAAATCTGTGGTGCCTCCGAGACTTCTGGAACTAAGAGAGCTTCTTCCACAGCAGTTTCCATGATGCTGACACAATTGAATACTGTGGGATTTACCAAGGAAAGGGACAGAATAAAGAGAACAAAAATCAGTGTAAAACAGAAACATCAGAAATGACCAACTGTACGGCCAGAGAAAGCTTAGATGGGGAAACTCTAGCATTAGGCAGTGAGTAAAGCAATTAATATAAAGACAATTAGGAACATGTGATCTCAAAAATACATAAATGTAAAAGGTCATAGAAGACTCATTTAACCTATATGTACTATGTTGTCAAACCTTGGATAATGGAGGGGAATAGAAAAAAGGTTAATTTTTAAAAGCTGTGTAGAACCTACTTTAAGATTCAGGTATCAGCACAGGGGATTCCCAGATTCTAACAGCTCTCTTCTGCCAACTTAAAGATTTTTCATCTCTCAAAGAAGAACTAGAAAGAGTAAACCAAACTAATATTACATGCTAATAAAAATAAATTCAGCTGTTTTGAGAGGAGCCAAAATTTGAACACTCTATCTTCAGATAATGAAATAGTTAGATAAAACAGCATTCCTTTAAATGTGACAGTGATTGTTTTATTTTTCAAATCACTTATTTTAACTCATTTTACTATCGCAACTTCACACTCAGTGTAATATTTATTCTTTTCAGTTAAAAGATGGATTAAATTGTAGCACCAATTGTGTAAATGACTTTATAAGGTCCCAGCTTGAAGTTGTACTCAATCCCAGTCAGAGAAGCCTTCTCTGTACTCATGATTATACATCTATAAAGAAGTCAAATACTACTCTGTCAGGCTGGGTGGCGAGGGCGCACACCTTTAATCCCAGCACTCAGGAGGCAGAAGCAGGCATATCACTGTGAGTCCAAGGCCAGTCTGGTCTACAAGAGCTGATTCCAGGACAGGCTCCAAAGCTACAGAGAAACCCAGTCACGAAAAAAAAAATATTTACTTCCATCACCTCTAATTTTCCACATAAAGTACTTTATGTTTATTAGTATATGTGTATATTTAGAGAGCTACCCCAGAACTTAAGGGTCTTTTTCTGACACTTTCATTTACTCTTTTTTTTGTCAAAAGCATGAGAAATCAGAAACATGTCTTTAGCTAAGGAGATAGCTAGACTTACTGATAAGATGCTAACTCTTTGAAGAAATAGGAATTGTGGCTTTCTGGAACCAATGCTAGCAATGCATCTCTTTTGTTTCTGGTCATCCAATGACCCTTGCAATTTGCTTCAGAAATAAAGCAGCAAACCTGGGAGGAAATACCTCTGAGAGCAGGGGTTCTTCCATGAGTAGGAAAAGCAGAACAAGAAAGGAGGAAGGTTTACAGATATCAGGGGCATGAGAGTAGCCGAACAGCCAGGTTTGAAACAGGGCCAAGTACTGTATTAGATATCAAGAAAGGGAAAAGAAAACTCGATTCTCACTAATATTTGGCGATTAAAAGTCACTAAGCACTTTGAGTTTGTTTTTCATACACTCACGAGTTAGCTTCTTGTAGTTTTCGTATGGTTTGGTATTTTTCGAGACAGGGTCACTCTGGTTGTTCTAGAACTCCCTTTTCAGACCAAACTGGTCTCACATTCACAAATATGCCCCTGCCTCTGCCTTCCAAGAGCTGGGATTGAAGGTGTGTGCCACACTGCCCACCATTTTTAATGTTCCTTTATTTACAACTTTGTAAAGTCTAACTTCTGACGTCAAACCCATGCTTGTGTAGGGTGTTTACTTTGTGTCATAGTGTAAAAACCAAAGTAGTATTCATACACTCAGTAGAGCACATTAAAACCAATGTGCCCTCCTTCTGTACACAAATCACGTATACTCTAGTCATCAAAGCCCAGTGGCATATTGTTGCTTCTTTTTGGATGAGTAAATTCCCCCTTTTTTTCTTTCTTATTTGTTCCTCACATTTTGTGTTCTCTTCCTGAAAGTGATACACTCCCATACATCCAACCAGAGCACTCTGGACCCTACTGAGTCCTCAGGCAGGGGTCCTATTTTACCATCTTGGAGAATTTATATGACTGCTTTTTGCCTCATTCAAACCAACACAGCCAAGTCTACTGTCTTTCTTTCAGGCTCCTCAAAGAGCATCTTGGAGAAAAAGAAGTTGAATTGACACTCATCTTTGACTCAGTGGTGGAAGCTGACTTGGCTAATTATACCTGCCATGTGGAAAACAGAAATGGACGGAAGCATGCCAGTGTTCTACTGCGTAAAAAGGGTACTGTTTATCATGAGCACAGCTACATCTTTGCAAACTAACGACAGCTACTAAATATGTTTTTTGGACACAAACTGTCATTTAATAAAAGTTTCCTTTAGCTATCGTTGTCTTTTTAAGTGCTAGTATTTCTCTTGTTGAGCATATTAGCAAAAATTAAAGGCCTATGACATTCAATAGCATGACAAAGTGAATAATTGAAATAAAGCATGGTTATACTTTAAGTCAATGGGCATAAAATGTGCTGTGTTTGTAATTCTAAGTGATACACAAAATTTGGTATTTATTAGCGTTCAATATTTTCTCTGTATTTTGCCTTCTTATGTCCTAGTGCTTAGTTGAAATATTAGATGTTATATTACTAGATTAAAAACAAAGTTATTTTTAAATTCCAGGATAAAATGTAACAGAAGTAATTAATGATGTCATAAAAGAAAAGTTATCATAGACACCACAAGTTATATTTTGTTACATGACATGTTATTAAAGGGCCTTCAGTGGATGGATATATTTCTATAAGTTTGGCATCTCTGGAAAAATTCCTTTTAAAACAGTTTGCTGTAGAATGGGCCGAATTGGTTGCAATAAGCAAAGAAAAGAAACTTAAATGCATACATAAAAGGGCTAAAACTAGACAGTGCCAAAAAAACATCTTAAAGGGCTTCATCAGAAGTCTCTATTACGACAGAAAATTACTAAAGAGTTTGCGTGTCCACCTGGGAAAGGTTTTATAAATGTAGCTGAACACATGTTCCTTATCATGCCACTTGTTGCCTAGGCTATAGAACAATAGAACAGATTCAATCAGCAAAATCACTAGTTGTGTCTAGTTGCCAAGATGGAATTTCCATTTACTTGCCAGACCTGAAGCTTGAGCCTAAGGAGACTCTCCAGAAGAACAAAGGAAGCATGACTATTCCGAGAATGGTGCTTCTTTCTCAGCAGCACCACGGCTCACATGGATGGACTTGATGCTCTCTTAAGAGTAATTTAGTGGCTTTTCATCTATATACCTTTCTACATTAGTACAGGCTTTGCCTAAGCCTATGTACCTTGTGGCAAAAGTCACATTGTCCTTGCACTTTTGGGTCTTATTCTTGCTTCAAAGATTCTCTAGACCAGGGTCAGCTGTGATACTTCTGCATCTCCAAGAAACTTAGAAAGTGTTTTGCCACTAATAAGCACTCTTGAAATGCATCCTGGTTAAGTAAAAGATTAAAAGTCTCTTTTAATATTGAGAACTCATATGTAGCAAATACATGCTGGGTATTGAGAAAGACACAAATAAAATACACATCCTCAAACCTCTGAGGTAGTTATAATGCAAAGAAATATAAACATTTAACAAAAGTATTATATATATATATATATATATTTCAATTTGAACATTTCTTTGGGAACAAAAACATGAAGGAAGGTCTTATAATTAAACCAGTGGGAAGAGATATAATCTAAGTTTTAAAATAAATCTATTCTATTTAAAACTAAAGCAACAACTGGCAGTCCTTAAAACTCTAGAAATCTGAGACGGGACATGAGGACACACTGTAAAACTCTATCCCTTGATATCATCTGCAAAGAACTTTGATGAAAATTATTAATAGCTGACAAAATTCTCATTTTCCTTATACTTAAATAAATGTTGAAATCACTGCTTTTCCAGCTTCTTCTCATTCGATCTCTGAATGATCTCATTCAGTCTCCATCTCATTGATTTCCATTTACTCATTCTTACCTCACACACAAAGTCCAAGCTTACACATCCATTTGCCTATTTCATAATGCATAAGGACTTATATATTCCAAAGTCACCGCATGTTTCTCTTGTTCCAAACAGGATCCCTAATTTCTTCTGCCTAAATATATGATCCTTTGTTCTTCTTTATCTCTATCATCATCACACTAGATTTTTGGGCCAAAATAGTCAAAGCTACCCTTCACTTCTAGTTTTCTCTACTCATGTCCTGTATCTAGGCCACCAATAAGTCCCATAGTTTAACTTTCAAAGGCTGTCATAGATTTGACCACTTCTACAGTTTCACTGCCACAACCTGAATTGGAGCTCCAGGCTCACGTGATCTGAACAAAACCCCAAACTTTTACTATTGCAAATCTGTTCTTATTGCTGATCTCGCGTTCTCCCACAATCTAGATCAAATGGAAGGCTGACTAGCCTTCTTTTCTTTTCCTCCTGCTCATCGAGGATATTCCTTTCTTATACTCTTCTCTCTTGTTTATTTCTTCTGCCTGGAACATTTCCCCCAGCCATTGCCATAATTACCTCCAATCACACAGGCCTCTTCTTTTATGACCTACTCAGTAGGCATTCCATGGCCACCTCATAGACAGTATAATTCGCTACCCTTTTTGTGCCCTCTAAGTTTCTTACTCTTTCTAGTGTGTGAATTAATATTGGATAATACATTGCACACTTGTTTCTTGCATTCTCCCTGTCCCAAGGATGTACATTTCATAAGTATAGAGATTTTTTTGTGTTAGTGACCATTGCAGACATAGTACACATAACAAATGCTCAAAAGTATTTGTTGGATGGAAACTCTCATCATATGAGATTAGCCCACTGCTGTGGGAGGAAAGGTAACAGAGTTGCAAAGCAAGATTTTATCTATGAACATGTCTTGACTGTGTGGCTTCAGTTACTTCAGGCTATTTTCGCTGTTGTTTTCTTTGAAAGTTTTAACTCACGTTTGGAGGTCAAAAGTCAAAAGTCTCAAAGGCCAAGCATATATGAAAAATAGAAGAAAGTTGACTATTAGAAAAAAAATGAAAACGTGAATCATATAAAACACACTTTACCTAAAGGTCAACCCAGCATTCTGTTCTAGAAGATTTTGACCCATGCTATGAAAGCTTCAAAGTTCTCAAGTGAAGCTGAGAGGGTAAAGACGATTATTTTTAAAAAATTAATAAATAACAGTATTCATTTTTCTTAAAGCAGATATCATTTTAATGAAACGACTCTTCTAAGTAGAAGATAAAGTTTTCATTGTGCTTTGCTAAAGGACGTGGTTGATTTTTCTTCATTTGGTCTTTAAACTCTTAAAAATAGAAAAGGCACAAGTCCTTGTGAACCTGTTGTAATTTTTTAAAACCATCCCAAGCTTATCTTGTGTTAAGAAACATTAGAAAGTGACATTTAGACCCGTTAGTCTTTCTCACAATGGAGCCTAATCTCATAGGCTGTGGTGATTCCACCTAGAATCCAGGCAGAGCTTGGTTTATGCAACAGGGACTTCTTAATGAGCTGCAAGTTTATTTAAAATCCCCGAAGTGATCATCTTGGAGAAGAAACTTGTGACGAATTATTTCCTGAACTCAAAATGGCTTTTAGAAAGTGAAAATTCACTTCTGACATAGCCAATAACCATGGACAGGGATTACAAAATAGTATATATCCCCTTTCACAGTAAGCTCCTACATTCACCTATCCTTTTGTTTTCTCTGGAGAGTTATTAGCCGGAAAGTGTAATTGACCACAGGGCGGTAAGAGAGCCATTTGGTTTTTCCCTTTTGGTGAATCAAGATTATGAACTTAACCTAAAAAAAAAAGCATTCTGGTAATTAGTTCTACCTCTCTACACATGCTTCTTTACCCACAAAATACAGGTATGACATCTCAGTGTCACGCTTCCTCTTCTTCCCCCTCTCCCTCTTTACCCCTGCCTTTCCCTTCTTCCTCCTTCCCTTCACCCTTTCCCTAGCACTTCCTTCTGGAGGCTAGAAAACCCAAGATGTAGGTCTTCATAGATTTCTATCTAATAAGGACCTCATCCCCATTTCAATCAAGTGGCCTATACCAGTCATGTTTCCACCAATGTCCTGCTCAGAACTGAAGTTATTCATTATCTTAATTGAGCCTTTCCCTGGCGTGCTCATCTCTTTTCTGAACCTTGCCCAGACTCTCCCATAAGGCTCTTTGCATTCACAATGTACATCAAATCTCATTGAACCGCTACCTATTCATTACCCATTTTCAAAACTTCTACATTTATAGGTATTTGTCACAGCAGAACACTACTTGTCAGCATTAATTTATGCATCAATCTATTTGGCTGCTACAACAAAAATAGCTTTTCCTGAACAGTTTATAAAAGCCTCCAGAGATTTGACACGTATAGTTCTAGAGATCTATGTTCTAGCACATTGCCTACCTAGTAAGGACGGATTCCTCATAGTTGGTGAATTCTATGTGGTCTCGCAGAGGAAAAAAGTAAGAAGATTCTCTTAGGCCTCTAAAGGGTACTGTTTTCATCCATCCGAATGGAGAGTTGTTGAGCTACTTACTTCCCTAAGGCCCCAAATCCTAGTACCATTCCTTTGGAGCCAGGTCAAAACACACTTTCTTTAATGCTGGGCATCAGACTCTGGACTCTAAAAAATGCACAGCCTCTAAGCAACATCCTGATATCAACAAACATGAATTTTGAAAGGATACCAGCTTTCAGGTCACAGCAGATGTCCTCGGGCCAAATCTCCAAACTCATTTACTACTTCGTAAGTTAGAAAAACAAGCTCAAACATCCATAAACACACACACACACACACACACACACACACACACACACACACACCATCTTTTGTCTTTTGGCTTCTGTTGCTATTTTTTCCCATACAGTAATATTTGACCTTTGTGTTCACATTGAAGAAACAGATGCGCTCCAAAGGAAAAAGATACAAAGGAACTGTGCGTGTACTTTGTGTGCCTACAAGAAGTTATAACCACTCAAAAGATTCCTCCTTGGCTCCAGTTATCCTTAGGAAGTATTTACAAGACACAGACCAAAATAAATGACTTTCAGCTTCTCAGTCAGGAAATGTCTTGAAGTATAGATCCTGCTGGGATAGAAAATGGCAAATGTAAACAGAAGACAAAAGGAAAGCCAGATGTCATTTGGCTGATGGCACTTTTACCCTCTGATTATAGGATGGATGTTTCTCTTTTGATAAGACTGCCTTGACGGAATCAAAGAATACTTGTTGGCTCTCAGAGTCAAGGTCCCCAGTTTTCAACTTAAACAGCCACCATTATGCAATATTTTTCAAAGGCATTTTTATGAAATGGACCCCCAAACCACAAAGATACTTTTCCCACCATGATTCTCTTCCATACATTTACTGCTGACATGGGTGCTTGCCACTTGGGAGCACAAATTGTCCAGCTGCTGAGGCTTTCCATCTACCTAATAGCAACTGTATGTTGTAAATAACCCATAGAAGTTGTTGGGAAAATTTCCGTTCAAGTGACTTTGAAAATAGTTGAGAGCTGTTCTGGTCAGAGAGGAAGTGGACAAGAGCGAGAGAGATGTCAGAGGGGGTGGGGGTGGACAAGAGGGAAGAAGATAATGAACAAAAGAAAAGACAAGGATGAAGACATTTACAGAATAAATTGAACATTTATTGTGGTAAAAACAGGAACAAAGCCTTTGAATTATGTCAATCAAGGCCGTAAGTTGAAAGAGAAGTTGATTTTTCAGAGTAACAAAAAAGCATTTATTGTTTCCAACTTAGCACTGGTCATTTGCAATGTATTGTGGACAGAAAGTGGTGGGGAAACAAGTGAAGCTTGTGATTTGCTTTGCGATATAAGTTTGTAAACTGGCTTTATTCCCCAGATAGAGGTAGTCACTGACTCCTAAGACACCAGTTTCTAAGACAAGAGGTGTGCTGAATGTGTAAAAGGATTTTTATTATTGCCTAAAATGTGGGAGCTTGATCCCAAATTGAATTCCTCTTTGAGTAGGTAGGGCAAAGATCCTCACTCGCCACACCTATTCGCTAAGTCCCCTCTTAATGTCCATTATGAACAGTTTGTCCTTCCCCTTTCACTCATTTCTCCTTCTGCTTTAATAAAAGAATCATTGCATTTATTTCCATTTCCTCTCTGTGATCTTCCTAATCAGCTATATTGTGTCCAGCTCTCGGTCTGCTTCCTTGGTAAAATTTTATTCCTTCATTCTCCACAAAACTTAATCCTTCCCTTCACACATGGAATGCCTTGGAGCTTCCTCCTTCCACGACCATAGATAGCATTTTGTAGTGTCTTCTTCAAAGAAGTGTGTAAACTCTCCTCAGGTTGGTTCATCCTCACTGGTAATCACAATATAGCTTCGCTTTCTTTGGACTTGAAATAACGGAAACCAAGTGTTCCACAAGTCACATGGTATGAGCAAATATCACCAAAATTTCCATGGAAGAATATGGAGATGCCTGCCCATTATCTCCCACTCTCATTTCCTGGTTAAAGTAGATAATGCTGTGGTGGAATAAAATAAGTCTTAAATTTGAATTTAGGAGATCAAGGTTCTCATCCTAGTTGAGTGACTTAAACTATGGTCTCAAATTCTGTATCTGCAGAGTTGATTAAAGCTCTTGTGCTACAAGATTATTTACAAAGCAAATGATAGCCTGGGTAAAGTATATAATTCAGAATGTAATCATCCATTTTATAAATTATAATATGCTAAATCAATTTTGTTACATTGACCATGACTTATTTTTCTTTATCTATGGTCTTATGTAAAGAAAAAGAACATTACTAAAGAAAAGTTTGTGTCTGTGTTTCTCAAGAGTCATAGTCAAATCAGAAATTTGAATCAACCTACCCAGGGATACTGACTGATGCCAACTACAGTCAGAATCAACGAATGTGCAATATAAAATGTCATTTCCCTTGCCAGGTTCTAGTTACATGGTAAACTAAATTAGTAATAGAGTATTTGCTTGATGATTACAGAATTAGATTAAATGGAGACCACCTAATCTTGTATCTTGTAGGCAATTTCATTTCATTATGCGACCAGTGGATGTTCTTACACCTTGGCAGAAAATATTTCTCTTTTCTGGTCTCTCTCAGATTTAGCATATCTCCTCTGGAAAATGCTGAACTCAAAATCTAAAATATCATTTGACTCATACTTTTTCTAAATTCACTAACACTGCCTATTTTTTTCTGATGATTATTCTAGATTTGTTAATATCATTAATTAAGCTACAGATAATCCACTGTTCTCTGAGCCTGGGAGACATTATTATCTCATTCCATTATGTGCTGATTTAATTATCCCAACTCTCAGGGACCCAGGAATGCCTCAGTGGAAAAGTTTAAATATAACATATATTGGTGTTGGCCAAAGAGACTGACTGATTAACCTAGATTTCTCATTCACATTTTGTTCCTCTGGGTATATTATATCACAAATATATTATAGTAATTTATTCAAATAAGTATGGGGAATGGGTAAGTTAATTCCCCCTGCTTAACATGTATTAGATTATTTTCTATTGAGGTTAAGTGGAACAGTTAAATCTTGCAAGCTCATTATATTTTATTTGATTCTGAAAGTAATTTTATGATATTATTCTGCTGTAGAAGAACAAAGCCGATGGCCTAAGAAGTACAGGAGATAGTCATGCTAAACCAACAAGATATTTTAACAGACATAATAAAACATTATCCATGAATCCTAAATAAAGGAGCTTTAATAGTTACCTTATATACAATTAATGAAATATGTGTGAAAATGCTGTCTTCAAATTTTATTGGGATTTAAGAATTTCTTTTCTTATACAGTTACTACCTGTAAGAGTAAATTGCTAAAAGCTTCAGGATATAGTTAATTTTATTAACTAACATTTCAGGAGAAATTTATTATGAATGATATATTCTGAGAAGAAAACTAGAATGAATAGTATATCTCTCACACAGAGAAATTTGGGGAAATTCCAAGTGTTGCTGATTTAATTGCCTTTTTCTGTTGTTTCTGTTTACTTCAGATTTAATATACAAAATTGAGCTTGCAGGGGGGCTGGGAGCAATCTTCCTCCTACTTATACTGCTGGTGGTGGTCTACAAATGCTACAACATAGAATTGATGCTTTTCTACCGACAGCGTTTTGGAGGTGATGAAACTACTGATGGTAAGGCATATCCTGTTTCCTAACCTCAATTAATAGGCATAATTTATGGATGATCCTGTAAGAGACTATTTCTATTCTTGGAAACAGAAATTAGAATATTAAGGGACAAAGGATTATGACATGTGCAGCTTGCTATCACAAAATTACGGAAAAAAGTGTTTATGAAAACATGAATAGGCAAATCTAGATAAAAATTTGATGCATTGCTTTAATATAAACTTGTTCATGTAATCTTCCTATGTTTGACATCACTTCTCAATAAAAAAACTGAGCAAGATGTTTCTTGCCCTAAAGATGAACAACTGCTGTGAAAGCCCTTTCCCTTAGTAAAACACAAGAAAAAATTTATGTGCTATTTTTGTCTAGAAAATTGAAACTTGGATATAGGTCATTTTTACCAACAAAATGCATGAACCTACATATTTTGAATACTTTTAGTACCATTCTCAAAAATGATTCCAAAGATACAAATTTAGAATGTGTCTCTTACGGTTTGAATACATGGCAACCCCATAGTCTCATATGTGTGAAAACTCAGTACTCTACTTGTATCAATATTTTAGAAGGTTGTAAGGCCCAAAGGAGGTGCAGCCTAGCTGGAGGAATCCCATTGCTAGTGGAAGAATTTAGCTAGCATCAGTTTCTATCTGGGATCTTTGCTTCCTGATACTCCAGGAGGTGAGTCTGATCCAGTGGCCTGAATGGCACATCCTCATCGTCATGAAACTAAGGCAAAATAAATCTCCTTATGCTACTTTTCTTGGGTAGTATGTCACAGCAATGGAAAAAGTATCTAATGCAGTGCCATAAAATTTTACTGTGTTTGCTTTATATGACTTTTAGAAATCATAAGTTTAAGTATTAAAAAAGAAGTGTTTTTTTTCTGTTTTACTCTTTGAACATTCAGAGATGTTTTGATTTTTTTTCAAGAGAACAAATTGCTATTTTTCTGATTTTACATTTTACTTTTTTATTATTTAAAACAATTTTTAAGTTTCAATATATTCTGATTATATTCTATTCCTCCCCCAAGTCCAACTGCAATTTTTTCTATCAGTATCCATAAGAAGTCATATCATATTACTAAATATAATGCCCTCACTTCCCAACTACTATAAACCTTGGAAATATTAATCAGTTTCAAACAGTTACCTTTAAAGTCAGGTTTAGTTTACTGAAATATTTAAGAGTAAACTTTTATTTACATTCCTAGGAAAGTATTTATCTTGAAGATTTAATTAATTTTCTTTATTTTTATAATGATAGATGTGGTGTCAAAACTTTTGAGAAATCTGATTTTGACATTATTGTTGCTATTACACAAATACTGATGTAAATATATCTTAGTTGACTACTGTTTTCACAGTAAGTTGGGTCAATACTTCTTTATAAATTCACTCGGGAATTATAGCAAAGTATTTAAGGTAGTACAGGCTGATATTAAGGAATATCTTTACAAGGAGAAATAAGGGTTTGTTCTGATCATGGTTATATACATGAAAACGTAATTAATTTTATTCTGTTCCTATGTATAAGAGCTAATATTGGAAATTAGACTTCTAATTTATACATACAAAGTAACTGAAGTATATAGTGGGAGGGCTTGTGTTTGTTCTATATAAAAGAACATGAAAAAGAGGTTCTTGTGGTTAATTTGCTTTAAATAACAATTATAAGCAATTTAATAATTTCAGTAAAAGACAATACAATTTATTAGGTAATGTTATACTAATTATTTGCTGTCATCATCTGTACTCAATAACCAGTAGTAACTGACTGATTGGTGTAAATACACACGAGACTAAGTTTATAGCAATATCATTGCATTGATAAGGATCTATTTTCATCTTTAGCTTTAAGATGGTCCATTTGATCAAAAGTGTCTAGTAATAATCAGAATATTTTTAGACAGTTGTATGCTCTAGTACAAAATCTTTGGAATGGGGAAAGGGTGAAGGTCACTTCAAAGGTCTCCATTTCAAAGAAAAATGTAAATATTTTATATTCTGCATGGAAATTTGGTGATTGAGCACATAGTCTCTGTACTAGCCTAAATAAATCCTAAAAATTTAACGAGTGTGTGCTGAGGATGAATAAATGAATGCTATTTGTTTGATTTTATTTATTTTATTTTGAGTATTTGCTGTTGTATATACAGTACATACATATGAATGTGTGTGACTTCAGGTGTGCATATGCAGAGGTCAGGAGAGGATATCTTTGATCTCTGGCTTCTTTAAGGTGCTGTCTCTCACTGAACTAGAAGCTAAAATGGCTACCCTCTGAGTTCCTGGTGTCCTTCTGCCTTTGCCACCCCAATCAACACTAAATACATATGTACCCAAAGACATGCTTGATTTTTTACATGACTGTTACAGATTCCAATTCATGTTCTCATGTTTGTAAATCAAGCATTCTCAACCACTGAGTCTAAGTGCTGAGTAAATGAATTTTAGCATCCTTTTAGAGACATACATTATATGATGCCAATGCCAGCTAAATATGCTACCAAATTCTTTATTATTTTATTTATTCTAACAGCTCATCAACACAACTTAGTTTTTTGGTATAATTTTTCTTTGAATTTTTTCTTTGGCTATGTCTATATATGCATACACTCTACTTAGACATATGGCTTTCTATGGCTATGGTAAAGCACCATGACAAAAAGCAACTTGAGGAGCAAAGAGTTTGTTTTATCTCTTAAGTACCAGATTTCTTTCACAGAGGGAAGTCACGACAGGAACTCAAGACAGGAGCCTGAAGACAGGAACTAAAGCAAAGACCATGGAGGAATGCTATTACTTGCTTGTTCTTCATGGCTTGCTTAGCCTGTTTTTTATATGGTCAATCCCCAGTAATGGTACTGAACATACTGGGCCAGGCCCTCCCTCTCACATCAGTCATTAATCAAGAAAATACCCACAGGTCAATCTAGAGGAGACATATTTGCGACTGAAGTTCTCTCTTCTCAAATGACTCTAGATTTTGTCAAGCTGACAAATGCCTAACCATGACAGTGACATTATACATACATTTATTTTTTTAATTTTGCATATGCATTTGTATTTATGTATGTAGGGGAGAACATGTGTTTGTGTGAATGCATCACAGACTACATGTGAAGATCATAGAACACTGCCTTCTGTTGATCCTCAGGTCCCTTCCACCTTTTCTGTGAGAATTGGTCTCTCATTGTTCTGAAACTTCCGTGTAGCTTCCAGCAATGCCTCCTCTCCCATGTGATCATCGTATACACAAGTACATACACATACGCACACAGACGTATGAATTTTGTGAAAGTTTTGACGGAAATATTTTGTTTAATAAAATAGAATTTATCCAACAAGCTTTGATGTTCTATCTATTTTTAATTCACCTCATTTTCACCCACCACAGATTGCTTTATTTATTTGAACTACCAGTTTTTCAATAAATATTTAAGAGTTTCCTTTCAGATCAACACTATACACATACATACAAATAAGTTCTAAATTAGTTACTGGGTATACAATAATCAAAAAGTTTATAGAGTTCTGTTCCCTTTCGACGTTAAGGGCTTAGGACTGTATTCAGTCTAGCTGCAGGAAAACTGGGCTGCAGAAATGGGAATGACTCCCCGATGATGAACAAAATTAAAATTAGACTTTAAAATATGGAAGGACAGGTGTGACAACAAGAAAATTCTTCCACAAATAGTTTGGTTGTCTTCGTAACTTCTCTCTTCATTGGGAGCAGCATAGTTCTGGTGGCTGCTGTGCCAGCCGCCTTCCTTATAATGCCTTGTCTGCATTGTTCTCTAGTTTCTGGTTCCTCAAATAAGTTTAGTCTGTGTAATTTAGTACAGAACACTCATTAGTGTTGTCTAGAAAAGCAGTGTCACTGAACTGCCTCTTGGTTTTCAAACAATTGTCAAGCCTGGCTGTTAACTTTATTTGCATCATGTTGATGCCTTTACTCTATTCATCTTGTCCCTCTATGTGAGCAACAGCTGTGCTATTCATGAAAATTTCTTGGCTCTCTACATAGGACTGAAGTGCCTTTTAAAGCTGTGGCATCTGAGTCATTGCTGGCTCACTGGCTGGTATCCTGAAGTTTCTGAGACATCTGACATGGTGTCTTTGAGAGCTCTTTCCTGCTCCAGCCAGTTACAATAGTCCTTCACCTTTTATTCACCTTGTAGGGATATAACTGAAACCAAAGCACCTTGCACCTTTTATTCCAGAAAGAATTATGCTTCCAGAATGCTAGGTAAAACTGATTATACAGGTACATATTCAAATATTAACATGGCAAAGACATAGATATCCTATTTCACAACTGAACTAGTGTATAACAATACAGAAATAGTTTACTAGAAGAGCGTGTATATATTGAGCTATAATATTAAAACATAGTAAAGGAAGTTAAGAAAGTACCAGGTACATGTGAGTTTTAGCATAGTCAAAGAGTAAATCACCATAGTCTGAATAAACAAGGGGCTACGATTCTTGAATGTCTCATAAAGTAGATAGTACAGTCACCTAGCAACTGAACATTGTTAAGTACACAGTAGATGCTCAACAAATCATTGATGAATAAAGTAAGATGTAGAAGGAACAGTGGGCCGCTTCTCGCCGCCCGCCTCCCGGCTAGCTCTACCCGAAACAATTAAAGAGAAACTGTATTCTTTTAAACACTGCTTAGCCCATTAGTTCCAGCCTCTTATTGGCTAATTCTCACATCTTGATTAACCCATTTCTATTAATGTGTGTAGCACCATGAGGTGGTGGCTTACCAGGAAGGATCTTAACCTGCGTCCATCTTGGAGAGGAGAGCTATAGCATCTGCCTCACTGCCTTCTTCCTCCCAGCATTCTGTTCTGTCTTCCCCACCTACTTATATTCTGACCTATCAGGCCAAGCAGTTTTCTTTGTTAATTAACCAATGAGAGTAACACATAGACCGATGACCCTCCTCCATCAGTAAGATGTGGTTCAATTAGTTAGGGCTGTGAGATGGGAAACAATGGTCTAGCCTGACATGGAGTTTGAAGCAGCAATACTATCTACCAAGAACAATAAAAAAGATTCTGCTCATAGGAATAGAGCTTTTTGTCCTTTGGACTGTTTTATTCTTCCAGCTGTGCATCATCGGCAGCTTTGAGTCCCAGGTGAGTAATTATAGCTGGAGAAAGTCAGGGGCCTGCAGGTGCATCCTGTGCTTGATTGGAGCAAGGGCAGAGGTGCTAGTATTTCCAGGAGGTTCTTACATTAGCATTGCTGAAGAACATTTCCAATTCCAAGTAGAGTTTTATGTATAACAGTGGAATGTGTCCAATTTGTAAGCCAAAAGATCTTCTCAACTATCCAGGACATTATTTTGTGTTCATCTGCTCCTAGGCAATCAAGAAACCTAAGCAAGGTTTCTATAGTTATGGGACATGCTAACATATCTTAAGCTTTCCTTTGGAACTCAGGTACCACCTTAACATCCATAACCAGAGTTCTTTTCTTGAATAGGTAGTAAAGGGTAGAATCGTACAAGAATTTGAACATAAATTACCTATTAGAAGTCTCAGGGAGTCTCACCTAGTCCAACAATTAGGGCATACATTTCTTGTTTATGCCTGTAGTTGACACCCTAGGCTGTCACTAGGACTGAAATATTAATAGAGTAGGTAAGTAAATGCCTGGTTTATTTTATAAAATTCCATATGACAAAATTTTAATCTATATTCTAATCAGATTTGTTTAGAAATAAATACTCACCAGTCTTTCAAAATCAATGTTTTCAAGAAACTGGTATTAATAGGCATTGTTAGTGATTCATGGACTTATGTTCACTAAATTAACTTTAAAAATAATTTTCTTTAAATAAGAGCATTTGAGCATACAACAGGTTTTCTGATATGTTGCATCTAAAGCATATGGAGGGCTAATACAATAGATAGCTGTGTTCAGTATCATTTTGTGCAAAAAACACGCATGCATACATAAACATTTGTACTTTAGAGAGATCGGCTCTGAGCCAATACAGCAAAGAAGGGTAAAAATATGCTTGCAAAGTACAGTTAACTCCATGACTAAATGTGTGAAGAGAAAACCTAATTTGGCAATATTGGAAGGCGGTATATTTTGAAACAAAGGCCTCTTTTGGAAGTTGTGTCAAATTACTTGGCTGAACAAGAATAACAGGCAATGTATTTGTATAAAACCCAGCTGCTGTTTCTGCTATTTGGTAATGAACTGCTTTTTGTATATGATGCTGATGACACTAACCAACTGGAAGCATGGCATATGCTGAGTACAGTCTCCAGGAGAGAAGCGGGATTACTTCAATCTTTCACAGTTTAGGGTCCAGCCCCTTTTGGATCGCGTGCACATATTTGTGCAAACAAGGTATAGTCTGTGACTAAGTGGCAGAGCCAAACCAACTGGCACATGAAGGGTTCAAATCCATGACTTCGGCTTAGTTCGTCCTGCATTCAAACACACCGAGATCATCATTCACAGGAATCACTGAATATCACAGATGTGGAGCCTCACCAAAAGGCAGGACTAGGAAATCATTGTTCTATTCTGTCCTAACTGGAAGTTGCCCACTTCATGACAGTTTTATGTCATTTCATACGAAATATTCATGTGAAAATAGACTATATTACCTATAACATAAGAATTATTTTTCCAGTTATTAAAGATTGTCACTGATTACAATGCTTATTCTGGTTTGTTAGTTGTTAATAGACGTCTAATATTCAGAGGGAACCTTCTAATATTTACCACTTCTGTTGCTGTTACTGTTATTCTTTAAGACAATAAGGAATATGATGCCTATCTCTCGTACACAAAAGTGGATCAAGACACCCTGGACTGTGACAATACAGAGGAAGAGCAGTTTGCTCTGGAAATACTGCCGGATGTCCTAGAGAAGCACTACGGGTACAAACTCTTCATCCCAGAAAGGGATCTGATTCCAAGTGGAAGTAAGTAACTGCCTTTGGTCTTTCCAACTTCCTTCTCTTTCAGCGGAAGATATAGAAGCGGCAAGCCTCAGAGTCAACTTTTTAGAAAACCGTTTCTCACACTAGATGGTTTTTCAAATTCAGATTTCTCCCTGTGTATATTGTGACTTTAGAGCATCTGAGGTTTTTGGAAGGTATTCTCATGTATAATTTAAGTATGTTTTTAAAACTTATACTGTAAGTATGGTTTTGATTATAACGCTTAAGTTTCAGGGGTAATAATGACACTTCGTTTAAAAACAAGCTGTAAAATTCAGTTAAAGCCACTTCGGTGAACTGCAGGTCCCAAGCTGAACTTCTGTCTTTGCTTCTACTTATAAATACAATAAATGTCACTAATAACTTTGAATATTTTCCTTTCATCCTTGTTATTCACTGTGCCTTGTCACTCATTCACAGATTTATGGAAAAATCCACTGTAAAAGGTATATGACGCCATTGGGAGCAGTATTTTCTGTATGTATTTAGTACTTAAATAAAGTTTAAGATGTGCCAGACACTGTAGGCTTCAATGCTACTTTTCAGTAATGCTACATAGTGAAAGCTGCATTTGAGCTTTCAGAGTAAATCCAGTTGCAAGTCAAAATGCATGCTTTGTTCTTGTTAGAAAACATGTGCTTTGTTCAAAACATGTACATGGTAAAATATAAGGATAACATAGGCCTAAGAGATTGTCCCTGCCCTCAAAAGGTTTTGAAAATATTGAGAAAAAAATCAAGGAACTAGAACACATTTGCGCATAGTCTTTTAACAGTCTTAAATATGCTAATGTTTACAATGAGATAATTACAAAAAAAATCTTTATCTTCAGATAATTTCACATACATTATACTTTATAACATTTCAGACTTATAATTCTCTCTCTCTCTCTCTCTCTCTCTCTCTCTCTCTCTCTCTCTTTGTGTGTGTGTGTGTGTGTGTGTATGCCTGAGAGAGCAAGCGAGAGAGAGAGGGGAAGAGAGAGAGAGAGAGAGAGAGAGAGAGAGAGAGAGAGAGAGAGAGAGA